CAGATTTAAGCACCTTGTAAAATTCCAAAGTACTAAACTGAGTCGCCGTCATGATTGAATATTTTGTAGCTGAGAAACAGATTTTTCATATTAAGTTAAATACACTGTATATTGTGGTATTTAGATCAGATGTTATAAATGACAGTTATTCATATATGGTATGTTCACATGTTTTAGTATTTTCATGTAATCCATTAATTAATGTGTGTTTTCTGAAATATGTCTCATTAGCCTCACAAAGCCAGCCCTAAAATCAATGAAGAGGTGATGTAAACATTTCAGATTGTAAGTCGCTTTGGATAAAAGCGACTTACAATTGCTAAACATGTCAGAGGTCGCACGCCTCTGGAGCAACTAGGGGTTAAGTGTCTTGCTCAGGGTCACAAAGTGGGTAAACTTTAAGCTCTGAATGTTTTTAAGGTGGGAGATAAATCATGAATTTAAAGAATCGTGATTCATTTTAAATTTCAGGAATCATCTTTTTAAAAGAAGGAAAGAAAGTGAAAGAAATGCTAAATGAGAGATTGCATTGAGTTACACAAGCTAGTGGTACAGAAGCTCGACAGGACGTGACGTTTGCTCTCTATAAGGCTAAAAAATAACCTCACAGAAACAATTCCTCACTTTTATCAGTTTTATTCCACTCTGTGAGTCCAGCTGGCTTCTGTGAGGCTAATTTGTAGTGGACAAGGTGAAAGATGTTTGTACATCACAAGCTTGTACATGCCTTACATGTTTGTTCTTATTAAGATTAAAACACAAGCAAATGAATCTGATCAGTCTGTTTTTGGAATATGACAATTTGTCCTCCTTGTCCTGTTGATAGACAACTGACCAACCTGGTTTTATTAGTTTCTAAGTCAACTTAAACTGCTCAGATGCTAATAATATAGTAAATAAAGTCTACACGTTTGGATTTTAAGAATTATTTCACTGATCTTCTGACTTCTCCGGTGTTTTAAAACTTTGATTAAGGTATGAAACACCCAAATCACAAAAACATATTTTTAATTTTACCTCTTTGGTTTTACTTCTTTCTACTGAATAGAATTCTTAAGAAAACTGTTGTTAACATAACGTAATTACATTTACTATTATTTTAATGCTGATCACTTTTCTAAAAGGCTCTTCAGTTTTCTACATAAGTGTTGTGTACGCCCTCTGGTGGCCACATTGGAGCTCCTCTTCTTCATTAAAAATGATTTAATTTAGTCTCATATAGCACTACAGTGCAGTGAACAGAGTAAAACAGTACACCAGAAAGGCTGCATCATGACGCTGTGATGCACCTTTAATTGTGAAAAGTTGAGGCAGATTGAATGCAGTGTGACAGTGTCACCAAAATTCACATTTACATTGTTGATGGCGTCTGGTACAAGCAGAATTTCAGGTGCTAGTAAATCAAACTTATTCTGGTCTGTGTTGCATTCACTGACTCACTGACCTGTTGCTTAACAAAACAGGGGTTTGTGTTTGTGTGTCTGACATTTTCTATGTCTGTATTCTCTGTGTCTGTCCGCCAGTGACGCTGTTGTAAATCAGAATTTGTTCTTAAGTGACCTGCCCGGTTAAAAGAAAATAAGCTGGCATAAGTGAATATGTAGTTGTGATGTTACATTCACGAACAATCTGATTCTTATCAATGGCACTGTGGTAGGGGCAAACAGAGCCGAGTTGGTGAGAGCTGTTCTGAAAAAATACACTTCTGCCTTAGATCTGCTGCCCTTCACGTGAACAGTGAACCAGTAACTTATAACTCTGGTCACAAACACTCTACAACTCCCAGCAGGAAAGAGGGTCCACTTGATTAGGCTACTATCCTTGGATTGGTGTAGCATCTGCTGGGCAGAGTTAAAAAGTTTTCTAATATTTCGTTTTGCGTGAATTGCATTCAGTGCAAGACGACTTTATTTAGGCTACATAACACATTTCATGTAAACTATAAATTCACTGAGGAGCACAGGGATATGGCGTCACCTTGTGTAATGCAGTCACATGAAGTCAAGTAATTTAGTATCGCTGAACCTAATTTACTCGTGCAAAATGAAAGAAACTTAGCCATAAGATCCGGCTTCCCGTAAGGAGCCGACATTTCCATCATTGTGTTGTCTGTATGAGGAATGAACTGTAGTGATAGAAATATAACTTCTTTCTGTATACATGCAGCCAGAGCAGAACATTAGTAATGATGATCTAACTTAGACGGGGTTGGTGCTGTCTGCTTTACAATTTGCCTACTTTACTTACCTTCAAATGAGCAAAGTCACGTCCATCACCGTGGTAGAAATGTGTAAAATGCTGAATTACTGTTGAATGACCTGTCGAATAACTCATATGGGGACCCGGAGGAGGTTCAGACTGTCCAGTCGAAAAGATTAGAAGTCTGCAGGGTGTCTCAGTTTGTTGATCTGCTTGTTGAAAACTGTGGGTTGTTGATTTGTAGAAGAAGACAAGATGGTTTAGAAAAGCCATACATGCACCTCTTTGTGACCTTTGTGTCCTCAAAGTACTAGTTAGATTGTATTATCTGAGGAGGATCAGTCGGCTATGTAGGAGTCACTGCACTTGTGGTGAGTATTTCGCTCCACTGGGTGACGCCAAAGTGCTTAAAAAGTGTTAAAAAGTATTCACCTGTCAGAACAGTTTAAACTGAGCTGCATATAAGGACTTTGGTAATAATCATGAGATGAACTATGAGACTCACAGAATAAAGCAGAGAGAAGATTCCGGATGCAGAAATGTGACACCATCCAGTCTGATGTTAGGGGAGGGGAGAGTCGATACCGAAAGTTTAACTGACGGGAACATCCGTATTCAGTAGCTACAGCCTACAACTTTGAGTGTCCTGGTCATGTGAAACGTCCATAGAAAATATTTTGGATTCTGAAAGCAACGAGGAGTCAAGTTTTTTGTAAGTTCAGATGTCCTTTAGGGCTCATGCGTAGAATATGTACTGAAATAATGAACCAAAGTTTGTATTCTACGCTGGCCATTCCGACAAATCAAACGCATTATATACTGCATTGTATTAGAATTTAACTAGGCCTATATTACACAAGTGGATATAGGCCTATGTGTCTGTGTATGTATGAAACGTCTCCTTTACAAACCTCTTGAAACGTTTTTTTGGCTTTTGATACATTATATTACATTTACTCATTTGACGCTTTTATCCAAAGCGACTTACATTTGAGGAACAACATACAAGAATCAACAGAGCATCAAATACAGATCTACATAGTGACATAGTGATAGCTGTGTTTCAGCTGCTGCAGAAGATATGTCGGAGAAGAAGAGGAAGCGATCCAGCTCTACCTACAGCAATTCCTCTTTGACGTCCGAACAGCCAATCAGCTCCTGCAGTGAGCTGCCAATCAGGTACTGTGATAGCCTTCATAAATGTGCAGCTATGACGTCATGAACAAGGGAAAAACACGCTGTACAAAGTTTTAATCACTGTAGGCCGATTATATTTAATTCAGCCAAAGTCCTATAAAATATAGCAGCGTGGTGCTTTACATTTAAAAAGTAGTGGTGTGAATACACACAGTAAGATACAGGTTATCTTACTACGAATACAAAACTAAAAAGCTGGAAGTATAAGATACTGTACATAAACACTATATACAGTAGGTCAGATACAAAATACCACTGTGCCTAAGTACAACGTCACAAAGCCTCGAGCATGGCTGGAGTCTCGTAGTTATGTTTTGCGGTTTCTGGACCTTTTTCTGTCTCTTTTTATTTAACAGTTCACAGATGAGTGAAGCTGAATCCTGGAGTCCCAGCTGTGTTCCTATAAAGATTGATGCATCCATATACCAGCCAATCAGCTTTGGTGATGAGAAGTTAAAACGGTAATCCATAACTTTGTCCACTATTAATAAATACATTCATGTGTGTAGGTTATAGACATGTTCTTGGCTATTGAGTAAGTTAAACGTACACTAACAGGGAGAAGTTTGGACACACTTAGAAATGTCCTTGTTTTCGAATGATAAACAAATATTTTATCCATTAAAAAAACATCACATTGATCAGAAATACAATACATGTAAACATTCTTAATGTTGTAAATGACTGTTGTTGCTGCAAACAGCTGCTTTGTTATGGCATATCTGCAGAGGCCCATTATCAGAAACCATCAGCCCTGTGCTCCTAAAGTACTATTTGCTCATTAGAAAGGCCTTTTGCAATCATGGTAGCACAGCTTAAAAACTGTTGTCCTCAGTAAAGAGCCAATAAAACTGGCCTTCTTTAGACTTAAGAACTTTTTTCTTGCAGAGTTTCACAAGAAAACTTCACAAGAAATTTTTTCCGTTCTTGTTCTGAGAAATGAAACTATTCCACGCCAGACACAGAAGATGCTGTGTACTACTCCCTTTACAGAACAGTGCAAACTTTATGTAACCAGAACAGAAAGAGCAGTGGGAGGCCGCGGTGCACAACTGAGCAAGAGGACAAATACATTAGAGGGTCTAAAGAAACAGACGCCTCATAGGTCCTCAACTGGATTCACTACCAGTACCTCCATAACAGCAGTCTAAACGTCAACAGTAACAGGCGACTCTGGAATACTTGCTTTCTAGGCAGAGTTGCAAAGAAAAAGTCATAAAAAGAAAAGATTAATCTAATCTTTATTAAAACTAATCTTTTCTTTTTATGGGCTGAGATAAGGCCTATGCAGAAACAACTGTCATTTACAACATTAACAATGTCTACACTGTATTTCTGATCAATTCTGTGTTATTTTAATGGAAAAATGTGCCTTTTATTTGTGTGTCCAAACTTTTCACTAGTAGTGTAATAAAATGATTTTTTCTCTTTTTACACTTGAGTAGGAAGTCCACTGCTCCCAGTCTTGTTTCGATGAAGAGTGATGCATCCATGAACCAGCCGATCAGCTTTGGTGTTAAAAGGACACAAAGGTAATTTTATTTAATGTATACAGGAAAGAAAATATCTTGCATCTAAATACATATTAAGGTTTGTTTATCAAAGATTTATAAAGAGATTGATCAGATGAAACTATGTGTGACGGAGGTTCATTCACGTTGTGCATCTCTGACATCAGCATTATGCGCCTTCATATCTCTGTTATGCAGTTTTACATATGTAGAATGTCAAGAAGTCTAATAAAATGTAAAATTAATTAACAGACAACATGGAATCTGGAAAGACAACATGCAACTTTCAACAAATTTACATTTTACTTTACAGTTTTAGCAGCTGTTCTGTTCTGTCCTGTTTGTTTTTTTTAAAATTGCATTTCTAACAGAAGTTTTATTTGTCGTGTAATGGTACATGTAATATTTTGTCCAGAATTGTAAAGAACCTTCGGTTCAGTACGTGGCGTCCTTTGTTTCGGTTATAATTACTGTTAATTTAGATCAAGGTCTTAGCACATATGGAACATACATTTTATCTAGTATTCTTTCTTTTATTTAACTCCAGTTGTTTTATTATTAGTCGTAGTATTAATAATAATAATGATGATGATAATAATAATAATAACAGTCATCTGTGAAGCACTTTAAACTGCATTTAAAATATGCCTGGCCTTCACTCTGAACTCTCCCTCAGACCAAAAGGCTTCATGCATTGTGAAACTGACAGTGTCATTCAATTGTTCATCAGACGAGGCTCCCCCAGAGAACACGGTATCACCGTTACTGACTCACATCTGACAGCAATAATGTTTCATTTGTTTATCACCCATCAGCCAGCTGCCTGGAGAGCCGTCCAGCTGTTCAGTGTGTATGCAGGTTTTGAGGGATCCGGTCCATTTCAGCTGTGGACACTGGTCATGCAAACACTGTATCAGCTCAGACTGGGACCAGGATGATTCACCAGCAGACTACTGCTGCTCAAAGTGTGGAAAGAAACCCAGAAAAGATCACGAACAGCACACTGGTAACTTTACATATGTCCTCCATACATACCTTTACTACTGCTGTTACTGCTACTACAACTAATGCTAGTAACAGATCAATACTTCATCATCACGGTTGGTCATCACGTATTAGTAATGTACCTTCAAGTCAATCAAGTTTCTCTCCCCAATTCTGATTATATAACTCTTTGGTGGTTTCAGGTTCCAAATTGCATTCAGACTTTAAACTCTGACTAAGAACATATAATATATCAGAATAATAATAAATTGACATTAAAGACATTAAAGTCAAGATTTCGTGTTTGCTTGTGCTTTTTGCATGACCTAAATAAAATTATTTGATAACCACTCATTTGTTATTGGCATGTGTTTGATTGTTACAGAGACCAGCCCCGTTTTGAAAGCCAAGAAGAATCTTAAAGAAGCAATGCAAAATAAATTTACTTTGATATCTGAAGGTGATGGCGACCCAGGGACCTCCCTGAACAAAATCTACACATCACTCTACATCGCCACTGGAGAAAGTGGAGCTCCACATGAAAAACATGCTTTCAGACACATTAAACATAAATTGGAACGACGATCATCTTCTAAAACGTTTATCAACCTCAGTGACATCTTCAAACCTCTGCCTGGCCAAGAGAAACCCCCCGGAACAGTCCTGACGAAGGGGGTTGCAGGCATTGGAAAATCATTTGCTGTGCAGAAATTTATTCTTGACTGGGCCGAGGAGAAAGAGAACCAGGACTTGGATTTTGTTTTCAGTCTCGCTTTCCGAGAGCTGAATTTGAGTTCAGGTAACAAAAGCTTGCACAAGCTCCTGACTGAATTTCACCCTGCGCTCCACGTTCTGAAAGATTCAGAGGATTTCATCAGAGCCAGAGTCCTGGTGATCCTGGACGGCCTGGATGAAAGCAGACTTCAGCTGGACTTTGAGAACAAGCCGGTAACATCTGTCAGTGAAGTAACATCTGTGGGAAATCTCCTTGCAAACCTCATCCAGGGAAACCTTCTTCCTGAAGCTAACCTCTGGATAACATCCCGTCCAGCAGCAGCCAATCAGATCGCTGCAGAGTTTGCGGACATGGTGACGGAGATAAGAGGGTTCAGTGACCCACAGAAAGAGGAGTACTTCAGGAGGAGGTTTCATCAGGACTTGGGTCTTGCTGACAGGATCATTTCACACATTCGCTCTTCACAGAGTCTGGACATCATGTGCCAGATCCCGATCTTCTGCTGGATTTCTGCCGTATTATTTCAGGAGATCTTTGGGGAGACGAGACAGCTGAAGTTCCTCAAACTCTAACAGAGATGATGGCACATTTCCTGTTTGCCCAGACAAAACGCAGAAACAGAAAATATGAAAAGAAGACTGAGAGAAACAAAGAGACACTTCTGAAAACTCACAAGGAATTTCTTCTGAAACTCGGCAAGCTCGCATTTGTTCATCTGCAGAAGAACAACCTCATCTTCTATGATGAAGACCTAGAAAAATGTGGGATTGACATAAAAGAGGCAGCCATCTACTCTGGATTTTGTTCTGCAGTTCTAAGGGAAGAAGACGTCTTTTCTCAGAAAAAGGTCTTCTTCTTTGTGCACCTGACCATACAGGAGTTCTTTGCAGCTCTTTTTGTCTTTGACTGTTTCACAAACAAGAATACAAAAGAGCTCGGCGACTTCCTCGACCTGAAGGACAAAGAACATACTTTGCTTGATCTTCTAAAGATGACAATTGATAAAGTGTTGGAGAAGAAGAACGGCCACCTGGACTTCTTCCTGCGGTTCCTCCTTGGCCTCATGATTGAACCCAACCGGAGAGTCCTTCAGGGTCTGCTGACATCGCCGGACCCAGGCCAAGATACAGACAAGAAAGTATTGACTCACCTCAAAGCCATCCGAAGGACGACCCTCTCTCCAGACAGTTGCATCAACCTCTTCCAGACCATGGTGGAGATGAGAGATCACAAAGTCAAAGATGAGCTTCAGGAATATCTGACGTTGTCAGATGGTTCAAAAACAGAGCTGACTCCCCTGCACTGCTCTGCACTGGCCTACATGCTGCAGGTATCGAAGAATGATCTGGATGTGTTGGACTTGAAGAGTTACAACACATCAGAGGAAGGCAGGAGGAGGCTGATACCAGCTGTGAGGAGCAGCAGAAAGGCCATGTAAGTTTAATTTCTCTGTAATATGTAACATTTTACTACATATTATTATTATTATTATTACTACAATAGTTAAACTTACTAAAAAAGCAAGGTGGTCTTGTAAACTTATCATGTCTGCCACATTATCAGCGTTGATCGCCACAGATTGATTTTCGATTGATTTTGTTACTATTTAAAATGGGTAAAATCATATTTCATGACAGAGCTCCGCGCAGCACACATGTTCTCTCAGCATCTCTTATTGCCCCATCTCTCTCTCTCTCGCCACAGTTACGCTGTCATTCTGTTGGAAACACTGTATTTACATACAATTGGGATTCATGTTGATAAATACACCTATGGGTGGACAGGAGGGTGAGCGTGAGTGAGCATTCTCAATGTGACAACACTGTCTATTACTTAGTGACTGGTACCTTATCTACCTTTTTACTATCTTGGTTATTAAGTAATATTTTCCACTGTGCATTACAACAACACAGGGCGCAGTGTCAAAGATGCGCTTTTTGTTGTCCATCTTCAGAACATTGTAGTTTTATCACGGCAAGCCACGTCAGTAAAATCCGCCGTCGCATAATTACGTCGCTTAGAAAAGAGCAGTACAATTCTTTTAGACCCACGGCCTTCTTTTCCTAAGTCCTTCTGAATTCTCCTTCACATCTTTCCTTAACCTCATAACGTTTTCCATCGAGGTCAAGAAAAGGATTTTTTGACTTTTCGGATGCAGCCCTGTTTGTCTCTTGTCTTGTGTTCAGTCAGCCTGTTTCCTGTTATGTTTAGTCTTGTCTGGTGTTACTTCAAGCTCTGTGTCCTGTCTGTCTGATTGCCCCATTTGGGTCACCTGTTCTTTGCTCTGCCTGCCTGTGTTTGTATGAGCTCCTGATCTTGATTTCTTTATGTGTTTCACCTGTTTTTCTCCCGACCTGCTCGTTTGCCTGTGTGTTTAAATGATTATCATTTCAGTTCTGTCTTGTCGGATCATTGCAGCTTGTTGTGCTCTGTGTCCTCTGTCAAGTCTGGTCCTGCCTGTAACCGTGACTGTTTTGGGATCTTTGTTGTATGATATGTTCTTACCAAGAGCAAGATTGTCTCCCTGTATGTTGTACTGGTTTTAACAATCTGTATTGTTAGTTCTAGCAAATATTTATGGGAAAAAGCTCCTTTTTTGTGAAACTTCAACTTTCGCCCTCAGACTAGCAGACTGCAAAGTGACTGCAGAGTGGATTGAGCACCTGGCCTTTGCTCTCAAGTACTCCTACTCAGCTCTGAGAGATCTGGACCTCAGCAACAATGACCTGAAAGATTCAGGAGTGAAACTGCTCTGTGATGGACTGTCGAGTCAATGCTGCAGACTGGAGATAATGAGGTATCAATACAGATATACTGTACAGTAACAGATAAAGGGGGACAGTTGTAGTCCTACTTTAATCTATTCTACGTGGAAATATCAGGGTCGGGGACCAGAACTAAAACGCAGATCAGAGTAGCAGTTCAAACAAAGGTGAATTCATTAAAAGAAGTTGCAAATAAAGATGTGGTTGGGCGGTATATGTTCAGATTGGCCTGGGAGTTAGGGGTCCGGGTTCCTGTGCTCTCGTGATTCAAGTGAGTTGAACTGAGTCCGAGGTCCAGGCTGGTACTCTGCGGTGAGACAGGAAAAAACGAGTTAACTATCAGTATCTCAAAAAGTCAGACAAGATTCAGCGTTGCAGACTAAGTTTGCCTGGCGTGTGCTCACACTGAGTAGTACAACAATCCGGCATGGACTGAAAGTTGGTCTGGCTTTTATGGGTGAGCTGATTGCAGGATATGGAACAGGTGTGCTTGATTGAAGTGATGAGCCCGGTGAGAAGGCAGGGGCACCAGCGACCACGCCCACCAGCGGTATCCAGAGCATGAGAGAGAAAGCAGAACACAGAGACGGACGCCAAACAAAAACAAACCAAGCACACAGCAGACATCGCAAAAGGGCAAAAGAATGCAAAAAACTACATTCACACACACACCATAAAGGAGACCAGGCAGACAGAAAAGGTTATGTGTTAGCTATGTGCTGCTCTAACAAGAAGTGGTTGATGCTCTATTCTCATTTTTTGGATGATAACTAATTATTCAAATGCAACAATGACCTTCCAAAATGCTTTAGAAGGAATGTCTTCTGTTATTTCTTGTAGCATCAGAACTCGTAACTAGTAAATAAAAAGTAACTAGTAATTATGTATCAGAGATGCTCACAAGTCTTTGAGCCAGAGTCCAAGTCAAGTCTCCAGTCTCTCGTGGTTATTACGAATGTTGTATCACCTGCTGCATTCAATCCAGGTTGCTTATAAAACCACAGAGCTATAAAGAATTCTGTAACTGTAACCTGTTTTTCATTTACAGAGCACATCCATGTAATGTACAATTCAATTATTGACAGCTTATTAAATACTGTAAGTCAAAACACTCCCCAGACTCCCCAGAAATCCAGTGTAACGTTAACTAAATAAAACTGTGATGTTGCATAATCAACAATAAACCTGTAACCTGTTTTTCATTTACAGAGCACAACCATGTAATGTACAATTCAATTATTGACAGCTTATTAAATACTGTAAGTCAAAACACTCCCCAGACTCCCCAGAAATCTGGTGTAACGTTAACTAAATAAAACTGTGATGTTGCATAATCAACAATAAACCTGTAACCTGTTTTTCATTTACAGAGCACAACCTGTGCAATGCAATCACTGACAGCTTAAACTACTGTAAGTCAACACACCACCAGACTCTCAAACCAGTGTAACGTTATAACTAAATAAAACTGTAAGGTTACATAATCAACAATAAACCTGTGACCTCTTTCTAGCCAACAGCCATAATTAACGTGAAAACGCAAAACACGCAATCTAGCGATGTCAAGAGCATGCCAAACCACCAAGCGGCGATTTGACCGTAACCGTAAAGCCATGCTCAGCGATCAGAGAAATCAGAAAATCGTAAACAAAGCGGGCAGTAGCACACAATCTGACATCAAACACAGCAGATAACGGCACGCACTCTGACGTTGCAAGGCAAAAACTGCGGTTTTACTGTCTACCCGACTGTGACGCCCTTTGGGGTCATGAGTGTGGTCTCTCTCTCTCTCTCTCTCTCTCTCGGAGGGGCTGATTGCAGTGGCTCTGGGCACCTGGGCTAATTGCCCTGTAGAGTATTTGGGACCGTTTTCTCATTCGGCAAGGGAGCTGCTATCAAGACCAGATCAGACCTCCCCGCGGCCGCCTCCCTGGTTTTCCACTTAGTTTGGTTTTCTTTGGTTGGACTGTTGCGTTGTGGTATTTGTTTTGTCTGCATGCTACAACTCCTTCACACATACATTCATGCAACCATCATCCTGCACTACTGAAACCATAGACTAAATACCTCATAATTTAATTATGTTAATTTGAAGTAACTATTGATTTGGTTTATTTCATTAAATAAACATATGTTACCTGTTTACCATGGTGTGTCTGGCCTTTTGAGCCAGGTCATAACATAGTGCAACTGGTGATTCTTAAAATCTTCACCTGGTTTTGAAAATACCCGTGTTTGTGTAGACAGGGTCTGAGGGGCCATCCACACTACTACGTTTTTGTTTTGAAACAAAGATCTTTTGCTACATTTGCACCTCCCATCCAGACTAAAACGGCAAATTCGAAGACCTAAAACGGAAAAGTTTGATAATTCTGCCAACCCCATTTTTCATTTTAAAACTCTGGGGTAGCGGATTAATGCGTACGGGCAAAAACGGAGGATCTGCTAAGTCTTATACGATGGTGAACACGGTAAACATTGTGCCTGCTAAACATCCACATGGTAACATAGCTGTAGACCCCTTGTTTTGTTCTCTGATGTTTAGAATATACCTTCATCATGTCGAATCCACCTCATTTATGAAGATGGTCTTTGACTTTTCCAAAGGTAGTTGGGCTTCCTTCCACCTGGACAAGGACCAACCAGACTGGCAAGCCAACCTATGTATCTCATTTCTCACTTAACTACATCTTATGCCAGTTTGAGGCCTCAGCAGAGTTCATCCTTTGTGGACATTCTCAGAGTTCTGGCTATGCCACTATACAACCATAGCTAAACTCTTTAAAGTGAATATGATTTACTTTAATCACAGTACCGAATCCCACTGATGGGCCCCTCATTATTTTAAACCATATTTTAGTCATTTAAAGGTCTGTGCACTGCTCATTGCTGGTGATAATGCTTTTTATAAACTTATTTTAAATATATTTGCTGGTATGTCAAACACTGTTTTCTCAGGTTGTCAGGTTGTCTGGTCACCGAGGAAGGCTGTGCTCATCTGGCCTTGGCTCTGCGGTCCAACCCCTCCCATCTGACAGACCTGGACCTGAGCTACAACAATCCAGGAGACTCAGGAGAGAAGCTGCTCTCTGAGCTGAGGGACGATCCACAATACAAGCTCAACACACTCAAGTAATTACAGATATACGACACTATTGACTTTCCTGCTACAATAAATTCTAGTTACTGCTTACATTTAGCCTCATAATGCAGTCCTACTAATCTGAATTCACAGTTACTTTATTATCTGAATAAATTCTAAAAAACAAATCTCAACAGCGTTGAACATGGTGGAAGTGACCGGATACAACCAGGCTTCAAGAAATGTAAGTGTCTGTATGTTTGCTGGTAGGAATAGTGAACTAGTGAAGAAGCAGTAAATTAAATGCTTAGTGATATGGTTGTCTTTAGCGGCCTGTGGTTTTAAAGTGTTTTTTCTTTACCTCCAGATGCCTGTGAGCTCACTTGGGACCCCAACACAGCCCACAAGAACCTCCTTCTCTCTGAAGGGAACAGAAAGGTGACCTGGGTGGAAGAGGAGCAGCCACATCATCATCACCAAGAAAGGTTTGATCAGTGCCAACGGGTGCTGTGTGAACAGGGTCTGGACGGACGCTGCTACTGGGAGGTCGAGGTGTTCGGCCTCTTCAGCGTTGGGGTGACATACAGAGGAGCTGACAAGGAAGGAAAATGGGATGATTTCAAGCTGGGACACAATGACAAGTCTTGGTGTCTAGTTTGCTCTAATGATGGTTATTACATTTTGCACTGCAACAACAAAGTAGATGTGTCTTCACTCGGATGGCGCTCCAGTCAAGTAGGAGTGTTTCTGGATTGGCCGGCTGGCACTCTGTCCTTCTACCGAGTTTCCTCCGACAGTAGAGTTTGCCTCCATACCTTCAAAGCAAAGTTCAGTGAGCCCCTTTATCCTGCTGTTGAACTTCACACTCAGTCCTCTGCAGCATTTTCTCAGATTGAACCCATTATGTGTCATAAATAGTCCAAAAACTGTTGTATTTGCAGTGTAAGGATGTCCTACGTGCTGTTACACTGTATAAGACTGAGGTTGAGGGTTTCACTAACTGTACATAACTATAATTTGGATCCTAGAGGTTTGAACTGAGGTTACTGTGTTAAAAATGTACACCTGCAACAATTAGTTGACTAATCAAATACTTAATTAGAAGAAACTGCTAATTTTGATCATTCATTCATTGTTAAGTAATTTGTCAACTAAAAATACCCAACATTTGCTTTCTCAAGTTTCTCCACTATGAGGAATATACCATTGACATTTCTGGAAAATGTGATAGATGTTTTCTGACATTTATAGACAAAACAACAAATCAAATAATCAAATAAAAAAATAAAAGCTAAAACAACTGCACTATTCCAAAGCATGCCCAAAGTTGGGAAGTCAACCTTTGAGGTTATTTTGAGTTTTGCTTTGTTAGTTAGTTGAGTGGTGGCAGTTTAGTGATTTTTATATGAATCTGTCAAGCAGAGCAGTAACTTGTAGGAATGGGCAGTGAACAATGTGTTTGGCTGCTGTGGTGCTTAATATTTACTCAGTGGAATAGATATGATGTACTTTATTGTCGCTGAAGGGAAATTTATTTTTATTTATTTTTATTAAAATAGACATCTCTCAACACACAGTCATGTAACAAAACACATGCTCTCATATACATAAGACATCTACCTACTGTATAAATATACACATTCACGCCTTCTCACAATGGCTGCATTTGATGGCACAACCAATAAATCCTGCATTGCCCACAATAACTGTTGCACAGAGCCCATAGCCTACAATGCACAAAACCGACATATTGCACAACCCTTACAGCCAAGTTGAATGTTGAATATCGGTTCAGCTTTCACTTGGGAACCCTGAATCTCCTACCAGAAGGTGGAAAGATGAAATTTTAGGTGAAGTATGTGGGTAGGATCAGAAACTACCTTTTGTGCCTGTCTGATAACCGACTGCTTATAGACTGTCTGAAAGGGTGAATAGTTCTTATTGTGAAAACTCAACAATATCCGCTAAAAAAATGTTTGATTGCTGTGGTGCTTAATTTTTGTCTTCACACCAGCGAAGCATTATTTTGGTTGTGCCGTAATGATCAGCTTCATTGTTACATTATAATTTCTTAAGAAAATTATTATTCATACCCAGGAACCGAACGGGAGATTGTGAGCACAGTTGGTCGGATACAGTCTATAGTTGTGCTCTGAATATTTGACACTTTTGACTCAAAGGTTTTTTACCCACGATTTAAAAATTAACTGAGCGATTCAAGATTTCACACACGCGTTAACTGGAATGACACAATGATAGATACACAATAACTAGCACAGTATGGGCTTTCCTCCATCTTTTCTATTCTGCCTTTCACTTCCCGCCTCAATCTAATGTTCGAGCATAATCGAATTTACGTGACAGCAAACGTGTTTTTAGCATGTCCATATTAACTTGAATTTTATAAAAAAGCAGACTATCTAATGGGGACCTGCATATATTTGTCAAATCATGAAGCGGAACCCAGGGACCTTAAAGAAATTCTGCTATGGGGCCCTCCTACCTGACTCGTGAGCCATGTAAACAATTTGCCATTGCTGACACAGCTGTGTCACACCTGACACAGCAGTACTCTTGCTACAATCCTCCCACCTTTAAAACTGTCTCACTAATAAATCTGGTTTGAATGGACCTCTGCACACTAACTCAGTCCTCATCAAGTCTCTTACGACTGGGGCCAATCTAATGTTCTATTACGGTCTGAGCTGCTTGTACCTGTTGTTGGCTGTTCATCAAGGGCGTCACTTTGTGCTGAAAAGTGGTCGGGGCATTTAAGGGCTCAGATTAGAGGTGCAGTGATACACTTGCTCGTGAAATGTTACCACAACAAGAAGATATTAAAATAAATATTCACTACTGTGATGTATGAGTTGGGGGTTCTGGGGGTCCTCCTCCAGAGGATTTTGAGCGTTAAACACTTAATTTCCTGCATTCTGGAGACATTTTCAACCAATTTATTGTAGAAATGTGTTTTATACACATACAAAGGGAAACACAAAATTCAGGCGTAAGGTGACAATACAAAGTGTAAAAAATATAATGCAATATAATTTAGTAATCTTAAGTTACTTTCTTGGACAATGCATATTGTTTCTTAGATATTTACACTGCATTGCATGTTTCTTATTGTACAAATAAACCGTTCTCAAAGCAATCTCATTTGTTATTTAACATGTCTTGTTGCAAGCAATGCATCAGAACCATTTTAACAAATACCTTCAAAAAGTGATGGGGACACTGTAAATGACACCTATGCTCTACATCTATGGTTGTGCTAGTAGGCTACTGGCTGAAGTTCCCTGTATTTCACCTGGGTCTGTGGGACTTGCTAAAGAGGTCTGTACTGGGTCTGTGCTGGTACTGGTTGAGGCTGGAGTTTGTGCTGATACTGGCTGATGATCCAACATCTACTGACAAACTTTAGCATAGCACCTGTAATTTATAGATAACAATACTTGCTGTATATTAATGTTATCAGCTCCATCAGGGCCACTCTTTTAATACATTTTAAAATGTAAAATACTATATGACTTGACTGAATATGTGATGTTTATTATTTACTGAAAGATCCTACTTTACATAAAAATGTCAACACAGAGTACAGTACTTGCTCTGTATGAAGGCTGAAGCGGTAGAGAGAGAGGACGGACTCAGACACTCACTTTCACCTTTGACTCGTTTCCCTACACGGATCTCTACAAAAAAACGACACCTATGGCCGCACATGGCCTCTAAGTTTAGAGTTCAATTGAAGTTTTACTGTTTTACAAGAATTTTGTTATTGTTAATCAGTGTATTTCTAATGAATGTTGTGGTGAATTTACAAAGTTTCAATGGATGTTAGAAATAGACTTTAAGGAAACGAAGAACATTGTGTGTGTTTTTTGGGAGGCATGAACTTTTTCCTTTATAGTAGCCTACTGAAGGACTGACGTGTTTTGTTATTTTTAAACTGAGTCATTTTTCAGATATCTTTTGTGGTTTCTTCTTTGTCTTTATTCACATATATAAGGAACCTCCTTCTATCGGGAGGGAACAGAAATGTGGACTGGGTGGAAAAGGAGCAGTCACATCTCCATCAGCAAGAAACGGGCACCGTGTGAACAGGGTCTAGACGGACGCTGCTACTGGGAGGTCGAGGTGTTGGAGCCCTTCTACATTAGTTTAACGTACAGAACCGTTGGCAGGAAAGAGAAAGTGAATGATTTGCATTGCAACGAGAGTACCAGTGTATTTCTCTCAGCTTGCGCTCCTGTTGGGTGAGAGTGTAACCCATTCTGTAAAATGTACTTTTGTAGATAAAAATACAAAACTCACTGCAATTCACTGACTCTTCTCCATCCCTAGGGAGGTGTTCTAGGCATTTCCATCTGGGAGGAGGCCTCGGGAAAACCCAGGACTAGGTGGAGAGATTATATCTCCACACTGGTCTGGGAAAACCTCGGGATCCCCCAGTCAGAGCTGGTTAATGGGCTCGGGAAAGAGAAGTTTAGGGTCCCCTGCTAGAGCTGCTCCCCCCGCGACCCGATCCCGGATAAGCGGATGAAGATGGATGGATGGACAATAAAAAAATAATATAATACAATAAAAAATAAGGGTACAGGGTAATAAAATGAAATAAAACATTGTTTCAGTAAAACAGACACAAATGTGAGTGCATAAATAAATATGATATGAAGATATGATTAAAATAAATACAATTGAACTAAAAGTACGTTAAAAAGGTAAGTCTTTAGTTTACTTTTAAAAATATCAACCCTCTCTGCTGCCCTCAGGTCCTCAGGCTGCTGCTCCACAGAAGTGAGCCATAATAATAAAAGGAAGGTGAGTTATTCAGATATTAGGGATAATTAAAGCCAGTATAGGACCTCACGGTTGAGAAGGTTCATAAACTAAAGCAGATCTGATAAATATTCTGGACCAAGACCAATAAAGGACTTATTAACTAACAGAAGACGTTGCAGACGTTGAGCCCCACCCTACCTCTCTCAACCTCACCCTGTCGCCCCCCTTAATACTTGAAAGTGAAAGTAAATCTTTTGTTTGAGCTGCTGCAAGAGAATATTTTGTGAAAAGCAGGCATAAGAAGCAGGATAAAAACGAAAGTAAGTGCTCCTTCATGTTTCTTTCAGATATCTTAGTTATCAGTCATCAGGTGATACAGGTTGTCTGGTTCGTGTCGTTTGCATTTAGTTCTGTCGTTTGCCTGCTTTCCTGCAAAGTCTCGTAAGCTGATTACAACTGGCCCTAAACCACAAGATTAACATGAAAAATGTGATGAGACCATTGGTTGTTTGGGAAAAATTTAACCAGTAGGCCCACAAGTTATTAATTGTATTAATGTTACTTTTTTTGTTGTTGTTTTTTTTTTACAAACAAACAAAAAGATATCTTGACCTTTATATTCGCTCAACCACGTGGCAGCAGGCGTGTAGAGCGTTTATTTTAGCATAAACAAATCCTTTGTTTAATTTCTTTGTTTGGTCACCACGTGGCAGTCCCCACATGTAATTAGAGCTCATGCAGGAAATTTCTTTCAGAAGCTTTTTTTGTAATATTTATTGAAATTCTTGTTGCCTCCAGCCAGCAATAAATTAACCAAATATTTGAGATCTTGTGGTCGTTCTCCTTCAATAACAATTTTTTAAATAATACACAATATTTGAAATGGTTCATTCTGCGTCATTAGCACCTTTAGTTTTGGGTCCTTTTTTCCTGAATGCAGCATTTTACATATAACATTATTTATGAATTTTACTTTATTGGTACTATTATTTAAGCAAAATATTCTGTCCTTTATAACCCTATTGAAGTGTTTTTTCATGCGCCACTGTTTCACAATAGGAATGGCTGAGAAGAAGAGGAAACGACATGACTCTTCCTCTTTAACGGTTGATGAGTCCTTTGAGCAGCCAAACAGCTCCTGCAGTGAGCCGTTGGTCAGGTAATAAAAGTTTATTTCTTCATTAATGGGCAGGCTGTAGAAGACATAGTAACAAAAACTGCACACTGAAAAAAGTTGACTGGTCTGTTTTAAGCAAAAAGTATACAGTGTGCTAGAGATGTTATGCTTCAAGCATATATTATTTATTTATTTATTTTTTAAACCTGTCCTGTCCAGCAGCCTGGTATAGAGTATGATGACCTGGATACCATATTGTGCCAGACAGACAAAGAGAGTATTAATATACTCCTTTGTCTGTTTTATTATTTATTTAATTATATAATTATATATTGATTTGTCACCGGCCGGACAGGGGGGCA